CTGTTGTACGTACCTAGTAAATAATTTTGCGAACAGTGGCCGCAATATTTTGAGGTGTTGACTGAAACTTGCCTTTGAGGCGCAATTTTTTTTACTGTCCATATGAATCAACTTCTCCCGCGAATTTCATTTGGCATGATTTCAGGGACGCCAATCTTATTTCTCGCGTTAGCGATATTCGATCTGAAACGATTCGCACAAGGCAATCAATGAGTTCTCCTTGTTCTTGAGAGTACTTATGTTAGTGATTGCTTTTATTTATAGAAACTGAATCGTCTTTCGCACAGAACTCAACTTCTATTTATGTGGTCGTGAAAGAGATCCTGATTTGCTCTTTGCTATCAGTTATTTTTGACATATTCGTTTTTTTGTGGCTGTCATGGCAAGAGGATGTGAGCATGGAAATCTCGTTACCGGTCTGTGCCGGTCTGTTGGTGCTGCTGTTATTAATCATCGCCGTGTGGCGCAAATTTCGCTGCCTGCTTATATTGTTCTTCACGTACTTCTTGACCGGTGGCGGACGTGCGATTCTTCTATCACTGATCGTCAGCTTCGTGCTCGGTGTGCCTGCCTGGAACATCGCCAACAACATCGGCAAGGTCGCTTATACCGTACGCTGCATAAGCGAGCCGGTACACGCCGGTAACCTCGCCAAAATGACTAACGAGGTCTACTGGCGAATGTACGACCGTCTGCAGACGTCGGTCGAAGCATGGCGGAACGTCACCGAGCAGATCGAACAGGTGATGAAGCCGATGAGCGAAGACGTAACGACGCTGAATGGCAAAATCGACGCAGTGGTGGATGTTGGTAAGAAGATGCAGGACTCGTGCGTTGACACGTCGCATAAAATCTTCCAGCACTGCAGTCAGAACGTCGCCTCGGTTCAGGAGTACTGTGAGGACATCATTACGCTGAGTCGCACGTACGATCAGGCCACTGAAACCTCTTTCCAGTCGATCATCAATCTGTCGCTGTCGCAGGACGCCAACGTACATACCTCGTATATCCACATGTTCAAGTTTCCGGTACAGTTCTGCGAATCGCTGGAGATGACTCGGCAGATATGCGAGCCATTGAAGATGTCACAAATGCGCTGCGTCCAGTTAACCGCCAAATTCTCCGACATGCACCGAACCCTGGAGAAGAGTTTGGCCGATATGGCGAAGTTCCGTAAGTTCTTCGACCCACCTCTGCGGTCGCCGAAACGCCGCCCGTTGCACGTAAACCAAGAGCCGTACGCTGACAACGTCAGACAACGGATTCAGTGGGCGAAGGTCACTCTGTGTGTACTTAAGTACGTGTTCTCCATTCCGCTACTCGCGGTCCTTTTCAAGGTCTACGCGTCGTTCCGCTCCAGGAACAGCGACAACGACGGAAGGAAGCCAAAGTTCCGTCTGACCAGCGGCATGCTTCTGGAAGCGTCGGTGGTC